TTTTCTACTTTGGTGGCAGTTCGGCAACATGGCTGACCAGTAGGCAATGTTTGGCTGCGGGTACCCTGCGTGCAGGCATGTGCGCGTGCCACAGCAGTTCGTAGCGTAAAGTTTTAGCAAAACTTCAATTACATTTGACTGAAAAAGATTTTTTTAACAGTGTAACACAGTTAAATAATATCAATGAATTCTTCTTCTAGGCCCTAACGGCCTGTTGAAAGACAAAACTAGACTGTTAGTCACGCATGGAATCACGTACTTGCCCCAGACGGACAACATGTATGTGCTAAAGGACGGGGAAGTATCCGAGACGGGTACCTACCAAGAACTCCTGGAAAAAAAGGGGGCGTTTGCTGAATTTATCACTCAACACATAACCGAAGAAATCGAAGATGAAGACGGTGAGTCGAGAACGATTCCAAAGAAGTCGCTTTCTAATACCGTTTCTGTTAGAACTGGATGAACTTCAGGAACAGCTGGCCAACACTCCAATTGCCAAGGAAATCACCAGGACAATCTCAAGACAAAGATCGCGACTGTCTGAATCTGGTTCAATAGGCTCTCAAAACGGGCTAGACAGAACAGAGTCTAGAGAGAGTTTGAGGAGCAACGGTATGAAGAGGAAACCCAGCATGTCTATACGGAAAATGAGCGTTGGCCGAAGCAGTAACAAAGGTGAGTGAATTCGGAATTGTGACACAGCTGCAATAGATAGTCTATTAGGCAAAGAACCTGGTGAAGAACCACCTAGCAAGGGCAAACTGACCACAGTAGAGAAAGAGGAAAAAGGCAACGTAAAATGGGACGTTTATTGGTACTACCTTGGAGCCATTGGGATTGCCTTCATCGTGGGAACAATTCTCTTCAGCATCGGATTTCAAGGTAGGAGTACAGGAATTGCAACAACTCTTTACTACTTTTGGTATACTACTTGTAGTGTTTGGCATCGCAACAAACGTGTGGCTTGGAATGTGGTCCGAAGACCCTAACATGGTCGTAGATGGAAAAGTGGACGCTGCCTTAAGAGATATGTATTTGGGCGTTTATGGAGCATTGGGAATTGGACAAGCTCTCTCAATTCTCTCTTCGTCATTAATTTTTACAAAAGGTTATATCCGACGGCTAATGCAAAGCTTGGTTTGCAGTTTTGCGATTTTTTATAGGTACAATGTTTGCCGCAACTAAACTCCACAATTTTATGCTGAAAAACGTGCTGCGCCTTCCGATGGCCTTCTTCGATACCACCCCATCCGGACGTATCCTCAGCAGGTTTTCTAATGACATCATCGGTATAGACTTGAGATTACCAATGACGTTTACCGTATTTTTCCAAAATACCTTTCGGGTGCGTTTTTTCAATTTCAGCTCCGCAAATTGAACTTCCCTGTTTCTCAACCAATGTTCGTTCTTTCAGGTGATTGGAACTATGCTGGTAATCTGCTTCACCACGCCACTGTTCACAGCCGTGATAATTCCCCTTTTAGCCATATACATTTTCATTCAAAGATATTATGTGGCCACCTCACGCCAACTCAGGCGAATCGAGTCGGTCTCGAAGTCGCCCATTTACTCACATTTTGGAGAAACCGTCACCGGAACTCATGTGATCCGGGCATATGGACAAGTGGCCAGGTAAATAGTGACGCAACGAAACAAACAAACACTAACACCCAAGCATTTAGATTCACCGAGATTTCTGAGAATAAGGTGGACTTGAATCAGAAAACCATGTACCCCTCAAATTCATCCAGTCTATGGCTGACTGTGCGTCTGGAAACGATTGGAAACTTGATTATTTTGTTCGCAGCTTTATTTGCAGTGCTGGGAAAAGATTTGAACCCTGCCCTCGTAGGGCTCTCCGTCAGTTATTCGATGAATGTGAGTAATGCTTGAGTCCTTCCCCAACAAGGCCCGAAACACATCTTGTTCCAGATTACTAACACGTTAAACTTCTTGGTTCGCATGATTTCTGATGTAGAAACCACAATCGTTTCGGTGGAACGTATCAAAGAGTATGGAGAAATGGAAACAGAAGCTGACTGGGATATTCCCAACAAAAAGCCGGCAGAAACCTGGCCTGAAAATGGTCAGCTAGATTTTAAAAACTTTAGCGTTAAATACAGGTAGAACCACGTAAGAGCCTCGACTATTCTACTACTTTAATGGCGACCGTTTCCCAGGGCTGGCCTAGATCTGGTCCTTAAAGGAATCAGCTTTCATATTAAGGGAGGTGAAAAAGTCGGGATCGTAGGCAGAACTGGAGCCGGCAAGTCCAGCTTGACCCTAGGCTTGTTTAGGTGAGAAAAAATGTTGATCAGTTGCGTAAACTTACTAATCAATTGCTGATTAATTTCAGGATAATTGAAGCTGCGCATGGACAAATCCTGATTGACAACAAAGATATAGCCGATATCGGTCTTCACGATTTACGATCCCGATTAACAATCATTCCTCAAGACGCGGTTTTGTTCTCGGGATCGCTTAGGATGAACCTTGATCCATTCGACAAATATTCCGATAAGGACGTGTGGAATTCCTTGGAATTGGCCCACTTGAAGGAATTCACCAAAGGCTAGTTGATTTGCTCGATAATAATAAAATAGGCTATCACTATCAGATACTATTATTTATACATATAATCATAATCGTAAATTATTTTTAAGATCTTTTTCAATTCCAGGATTAAGTGGAGGTTTAAGTCATATCGTCTCAGAAGGCGGAGATAATATGTCAGTTGGTCAAAGGCAACTAGTTTGTTTAGCACGCGCTTTGCTAAGAAAGACTAAGATACTCATTCTGGACGAAGCCACCGCCGCAATCGACTTGGAAACCGATGATCTCATTCAGAAAACCATTCGAACGGCTTTTGCAGACTGTACAGTGCTTACTATTGCTCACAGATTAAACACGATTATCGATTCGGATAGAGTGTTGGTTTTAGATCAGGGAAAAATAGCAGAATTCAACACACCCAAAGTTCTGTTAGATGATAAAACGTCGATATTCTATGGTATGTGTAAGGACGCGGGTATTGTTTAAAAATTACATTAAGAGGAACACTTCTGTACATATAGACGTAGGTTACATATATAATACTTATTGCGTACTTGTTAGGGCTTCGGTATTTATTGCGATTGTATGAAAAACCGGGTGTGGCTGTTCTACTTAAATGATTATTAAACTTTTATATAAAATCGTAGCGCCTATAATTTAATCGCTAGACTTTCTAAATGATCAACTTGAATGTACTTAGTGTTTTGGAGATTTAAATTAAGTAAATACTTACGCTACAACATATAGTAGTTTTATTGCCTTTCGTTATTTGTTGGAATGACTCGAGAAAGAAAGTTTAATTGCTGGTGCTAATTTTAATAGGCATTGGCCTCAGCTTAGGAAAATTTTACTTGCTTAAAAATAAATGTTTGCTTACCAGGTCGAGGTTTAACTGTCTTGCAGGGTGGTTCGCGGCTCCGAGCTTCAAATATTTTGCTGAACTCGTATTCAGATTCATTCTTAAAACAAACAACTGTATTATAAATAAATTGTCATTAGCATTTAATCATTGTATATGCTTTCCTGACTGTGTTTCAATTCCAAATCAAAATTCATTCCTGGGTTTCAGTCATTTATTGTCTCTATTTATCAATTAAAATCGTTTCGGTCTATTTTTCCACCATCATCAGTTTTTCTAAATATGTGGATTTTAAGCACAACTCTACCGCCTCAATAAATTCTTCGGGTAATTTTGTATGTTCTTTTATCTCTGCCCATTTATTTTTTATACAGCTATATGAATTTCAGATCGTATACCGACAATCTTAGCTCAGTATATCATACATTAATTAAATGAAATAAACATAGAACATTAACTAACACCAGGTATATTGAAGAATTTGGCAAACCAAAAATAATATCCTCAGAATGCAAAGAAAAATAGCTGAAAGTAAAAGAAATCAATATAAACAGTATTTTATTCGCTTTGTGTCCAAAATGGACAAAATTAATACTCCACATGTATGCCAAGGCTTAAAGCAGCAACAACGCTACACATGTAAGTAAAAATATTTAAGTATCTGAAATAAGAATTCTAGTCTTTCCAAATTTGATTGTCCTGACTAATCACCTGTTAGGCCTAATTAATTTAAGAGTGTTTTAAAGTATTGCAATTATGATGTATTTTAATGTGTGAGATGATGAGGCTGTTGACGAACTGTGGTTGTTTTTTAAATTAATGACATTTTTTTTAACTATCTGTTATTCTAGAAAAACTGAGGCTGGTGGAAAAATACACCGAAACGTATTTTGATTGATAAATAGAGACAATCAATGACTGAAACCCAGGAATGAATTTTGATTTGGAATTAGCATTTAATATACTAATAACTAAAAATCCAGCTCCAAACCTAATTTGTGCTTCAGATAATTCAATTATATTGTATATTCGTACAGAGACAAGATACTTGTCTGACTGGTAGTTAGTGGATTTCTATTAAGCAACTAATCCTAAACAATGCTTACCGTCAAACGTAAGTTGTTTTCGACAATGCTGGCATCCACGTCCAGATAGATGGGCTTTGCGGTAGACATTGGAACGGCACAATTCAATTAACTATGTATTTCCAAATCACGATAACCAAAATATTTTTGATCTGGCATGTGAGGTTAGAATCATTTGTCAGTCAGTTTCGGACAGGGTGGCCATTCGTACGGTAATTACCGTACATGTACGGTAATTTGGGCAAATATCATGGGACCTTTGTCCCACTATGGGGCTCTTTTTTTTTTGGTCACCAGCCATGTCCTTAGCCTTCAATCTGGATTTTATATTTTATGGAACCTTTTTTTGTTTTTCCAAATGGCTTGTAATGTGCGTTTGAAGTTGCGTGTGTGAAGTGAAAGTGCGTGAGTTGGCCGGTCTGGTTTCGGATCCAAGTAGTAATTTTTTCTTTCGTTAATGTATCAGCGGTGGCTGGAATAATTTGGGAAAACTTTGAAATCTGGAAAATTAAAACAAAAAGTATCCATAACCTCCAATTTAAACTAGGTTACTTTCACAGATGACAAAGGTTACTCTCTGATCTGTGGTTACTTTTCAGCTCTTCACTTTGTTAATGTTAATGGTTGGCAAGCAAAGGATTCTACAGATATTAAAAAGTTCATAAAAATCGCCCAGAATCCTAGACAACCTTAAAAAGCACTCGTACACAGAGAAGATAAAAACTAAGGAGAATATTAGTGCAAGAAGCAATAAATTCTTGAATAAGTCCTATGAAACCTAAACGGTTGAAAACTATAAGGTAAACCGATATTCGTAAATAGAAACATTTTGTACGAACATGAAAGAAGATAAAAACTAAGGCGAATATTAGTGCAAGAAGCAATAAATTCTTGAATAAGCCCTATGAAACCTGAACGGTTGAAAATTATAAGATAAACCGTTATTAGTAAATAGAAACATAGCCCGAAATCTAAATGGTTTGGCCAGGATCACACGCAACGTTTTAACGTGCTATCCTCCAATAATGCAATAAACAATAAATAGCAATAAA